ATAAATGAGTCATTATTGCACAAAAACTGCATTTTTGTCAGAGAAAGATCGGAAATGAGTTCTTGTCTTTTACAACTTCACCAGAACCACACGGTGCACCAGGAAAACAGCTTCACTGAGAAGAAGTCATGAATTTTATGTATTTATCTGACTTACATTTATGGCACATAGTATGAACTATGATAAAATACTAGTTTTTATTTAATAGCACTAGATATAGAAATGTCCTTGTGAAAGTTTACTGTTTTAGTTTTGTGTTATTACAACAAAAGATTGACTGTGGGTGACTTTTACTGCTGTTGTAGTGAACTAAGCTCTCCACAGAGGACAGTGAAAGGCTTCAGGATCATTTTTCTCCAGCAGGTTTATTGTAAAGCTTCTTTGCGGTTGCTTCAGGAAAAGGAAGTATTCCAGAGAGTTTTAAGATACTTACATCACCTACTTTGCCATATCAGACCAGAACATCCTAAAAAACGAACAGCCTGTCCTTTACAAAGACACGAAAGCTCCACAGAAGCGATATCCTTTTTTTTTTTTTTTTTTTAAAGCTGTTAATGACCTTTATATGTTTGCTTTAGTTTAACGTTATGACAAGCATAATTCAAGTCAAACAGGATGTGTTATTATTTGCTGTCATAAATTGTCAGAGATAAAGGCGTCCCATTTTTTCTGCCACATGGCCTGACCTGTGTCCTTCAGATGAGCTGGCAGCGAGCTGTACCTGCAGGCAGAAGAAACTTTTAATGAGAGCGAACTCATGAAGCTGCAACATGGTGTTAAAAGCTTGGAATATTCTAAGCACAAACACAAGTTTTACATCATAAACCACAAATCAAGTTTCTTCCTGCTTTCAAATCAGACTGTAAGTTTTGTGTCTTTGTGCTTCCGTTCATCCTAAATATAAGGATTAACTTGCAGACACAACAAAAACTTGCTTGAGATAGGTAAGTCCATTACAAATTTAAAATGAAGTCAGATTATTGTCATGCTGTTCCAGTTTCAAGCAGGTGATCCCTTTAAATTTACATCTGATGGTATATTTTAAGGACACACCAAACATCCAAATCCAGAAGACAAACAGCAAGTACATAACGAAAGTGTGTAAAAGGTAAGAATGTGGTTTGGCTGGCTTTGACCAATAGTGTCACCGTATAAGACCTCGTTTCCTGAAAAATTAATTTGTGAACACATACTTATACATAAGGTGTAGTTCACATTCAAAAACCTTCCACTCACATTTTTTGCTACATTAACAGTTTGATTTATTTGTTTTGCTTATTTATTTCAATCCATCTATAAATATATTCATATGTATTTATTTCTTGTATGTTTTCTTCTTCTTCTTGTTTCGGTCTGGAACAGGTGCATAATACATTTCACTGCACGTTATACTATGTATAATTGTGTTTGTGACCAATAAAGGCCTTGAAACTTGAAATAATCATGAATTATGTTGAAAATAGGGCATTTACTTTTTTGGTGCAATGTGGCAAAATGATGTTAAATGGATGTAAATGAATGAATGAATGAATGAATGAATTTGTTGACAATAAAGAAGCACTAAATACCCCACCCCTTTCTTTTGAAACCAACAACTGCCAGAACTTGAAAAATCCCCCAAAATTGGGGTAAGTTTACAAATGGTGTCATGGCACAGTCTGTCCTGCCTCCATTGTTTGTATTATTTTCAGCAACACCTGCAGCAGAGCTGGTGCGGAGTCGAGCTAAAATTTAAACATCTTGTTTTCCACTGAATGTACAGAAAGTTTCCCCTGAATGTTTGTAGCGGAGGTGCTATTCATGTCTTGACTCGGCAGCAGTACACTGTTTGTGACTGTTGTACATTAACAACAACATTTTGCTTGACATTACATTTTGGTAAACACCTTCTCTGGTTTTAGTTAAATGCACTAAAAGAAACGTTAGGAAAAATCTGTAGCATTAATTCAGCAGCTAGCTTTACAAAGTGGATGCTAATAGAGAGTGGACTTCACTGTTATTTTTGAAATAACTAAATATAAAGTGAACGTCGTCATTAGTGACGATTAAACTGTTTAGATTAGAATTTAAAATAGCACAAGTATTGCAAACTAGTTTTGTTCTAGCTCAGATATATAACTTAGCCAACATCTCACACCTTTTTATTTATAAGTGTAAAGTATGTGTTTATGTATGTATGCTGTTTATATATTGGTTGATTTATCAGTATCGGAATTTTGTGTCAGCCCAAATATGCCAGTGTTGGTCAGGCTCTAACAAATACGTGTGATTAGTGTTACATGAAGTGTGCTCCATGTTTCTTCAAAACACAGACATGACAGACATAAAATCAACTGATTCTGACCTGATAGAGTTGACAGCCAGCTCTTTCAGCGTTCCCAGGTTTGCTTTCAGTCCTCCGATGCCCACAAAGGCTTGATAAAAGTCGTAGGAGAGGCCTGCGGTGCCGAACAGAGACGGGTCGTCAGAGCTGATCACCATCGGGTGGCCCTCAGCCATCAGCACAGCTGCAGGGTGGTTCCTAAGATCTGACACCAGCTTCAGCACCTGGAGGTCAAACAAAGCCACGTACGTCATACATAAAGACAAGTTTAGGAGTTTCTTTTCTATTATGTCAGTGGTAATAAGTCATCTTACCTGGTTTGAGATGGGACAAAGCTCCACAGCCACATTTCTTTTCCTGGAAAGCTCTTTGGCAAGTGGATGGTGAGCCAAAGCGAAGCCGTGCCCAATGCGAGTGGTGTTGAACAGAAGGGCGTCCAGAATATTTTGATCGACGTTGGAGCCTTCATCGTCTACACACAAACACAAAGTTTCAAACAATTTTAAAAACTACATAAAACATTCTGCTATAATGTTGTTTTTTAAGCTTTTGATCCACCCACCCGTCTCCCCTGCGTGAAAGAAGTATGGCAACGTGACACCCAGTTGAGCTGGCAGAGAAAGAGCCTCTCTGAAGTACCAAAGAGTCCCTCCACTGTCCTCCCTGCCAACCTGCAAACCACAATACAAGATTATCCATTAGTTACACTTGGGTCATGAGGGAGCCTGTACCAGCTCACAGTGGGCAAGAATTCAGTTCAATTCAATTTTATTTGCATAGCGCAGTTTACAACATATTCCATCTCACAGCGCTTAACATAGTAAGGCATAGACTTTACAAATTTAAACAGAACCCAACAGCCCAACGTTGCCTTTGGACTCCCTCTGAGCAAGCGATCAGCAACAGTGGGAAGGAACCAAACCCCAACAAAGGGACGGGGGGAAAAAAGCAGGACACATCCTTAATCAATCACCAGACAATCCCAGACTTGACATTTAGACACAGACAAGCACTCACACGCACACATTCGGGCAGTTTAGTGCTGCCAATTATCATTTGACTAGCACTACGCAAACATGCAAGAGAAAGGCCACTGAGGTCACGCAAAACCAAATTAAACCTTAACGACAAGCAACTTAACAAGAGACCATTCAAGAGGTTGAACTAGAGCGATCACGTCTCACCATGTCGAATCCTGCAACAACATCAGGAAAGTCCTTTTGCAGCTGAATGGCATCTTTTATAGCTGCTTTGACCTCAGTCACAGTCAGAGCCCTGCAAGAAGCAGCAATGAACACAGGAGACAGCACTCTGTAAGGTAAAATACTCTACAATTTTACATTAAGATTGACATGTCAAGATGTCTATATGGAAGAAAAACTGCTGTAGCAAACATCACAAGAAGACCCTCACTGATAAAAAGACATTTGTCCAACAAAACTGACATGACAGAGATGTCTTTGTTAGTTATGCTGATTAGCATGCTAATATTTGCTAATTAGCACCAAGCAGATCTGAGGCTGATTGGAATGAACTAACTTGTGTTTTAAAATAAACAAAGAAGAAATCAAACTTTGACCTGATGATGACACTACATGATGAAGTCAGAGATCCTAAACATTTCTTACAGTTCATTCTGCGGGGAACATAATGTCTGCAGCAAATTTCACATAAACAAACAGCTGCTAAGACATTTCAGTCACAAACATTAACGAGAAATCACCAAAGTCATCAGGCTCCATCATCCGGGGACCATGAATATCGAGAGTAGTAATCCCTGGTATGAGACAAACTCTAAAAGCAATGCATCCTACAATGCCCATAATGCACCTCAAAGTGTTAATGCACATATCCGTCAGATTCTGCGCCCCTAGGATTAACATTACAGCATCCGGGTGATTTTCACTCCAGAGCAGCAGAAAACATTCATCTGTGGCCATGTGCTCAGTAGTACGACACTGGTGGACTGGCCCTTTAACAGCTCTTCATTTCCATTGCGGTGATTCAGGATGCTAAATAATCACGAGATAAAATATTGAATTATAGTTGCAAATTATTTTTAAAAACTGGAACATGGTGACAGATGAAAGAGAAACTGAAGATGACTGCACATGGTCTCCAATTTTCACATTATTCGGTTTCTGAATCAGAAGATCTTTGAGTTTCACTTCCAGTTTTGAAGTGTTGGAAAGAAACTGTACTGAAGTACAATTGCCGGGTACTTGTAGTTGAGTTTTTCTCATTTTGTGCAACTTTATAGTGCTGCTTCCCTATATCTCACAGGCTGATGTTACACTTTAAGTACATGATATTCATCTGACAGCTTTAGTTACTTTTCAGAGTACAGTTTTTCATACCCTTCCTGTCCAGTGAAAATCGTGTATCTGCACATTTGGTGATTCTGAATTATTCTAATAAAATCGGTTGAGAACATTCTCCGTCCTCTAAGATGTAAAAACGATTCAAATACCCTGGGAATAGCTGGAAACTGTCACAAAGTTGAAAACTGGGCTGTTTTTCTGTCCGTGTGAAGAGTAATTTTTATTGGACGGCGATGCTACAAACACATGATGATCTTTTAGAATGTGAATATTGAAGAAATACAGAATATTCATTGCTTTAGATTAATGTACCCAACAGTATATAAAGTAGCCAACATTTTTCAATGTTTATCAATAAATCTGATATATAATAGTGAAACACTGTCCGGGAACGTTTTACTGCAGAATAAATACTTTTGATCATGTAAGTAGCTTTTTCTGAAAATAAACTATTTTACTCGAGGTTATGAATCCAGAACTTTAGCATGTAGTTAAGTATTTTCACAGTGTGGAAGGCTATTTCTACTTTCACTTTCAAAAAAGACCTGAATACTTCTGCCACTGCTGGTCACAGGAGCCATTATACTGTATAATGAGTACTTTTACTTTTGGTACCTGATGTACAGCTTGACTAGTTGGGCTTTGAGTGCAGTACTTTTAGTTGCAACAGAGTATTTTTAGATTACTGATTGGTACTTTTACTTAAGTATGCAAGTATCTGAGAACATCTTCTATCACTGTAAATCTGGCAGTATGTAACTGTACATTTAAATCAGTAGAAATGTGTGTGAAATCTGCTGACTGCTGACATCAGAATCAGCTTTAATGGCCAAGTATGTACCAAATTCCTTGTGTATCGTACACAAGGAATTTGATTCTGGCTGTTGGTGTCGCTCTTGGAATTAGCAAGGAAAGAATAACAATAAAGTAAAATAACTATGGAAATAAATAAATAAATAAAATTAAAAATAATAATAATCAAATATACAACAAGATAAATATATACAAGAATACACATATTTCAGTATTAAAATCAGTAAACTAATACATTTGTGCAGTGCTTAGGAACCTGTGTGTTGCATTGTAATTTTTAAAATGCTGCAGTCTTAGCAGTTATTCTGACTGAAAACTTCATCTTACCTGTGGACAGAAATGATGATTCGGGCGCCGAGGAAGTCTGGATGATCTGCTGTAAATTTCTTTGTGACTTCTTGAAAGGTTTTCAGAGTCCAGACCTTATCGTGGATGGTTCCGTCAAGTTCGTACGACTGCAACACAGGAAATTGACAGAGAAGCACAAATGTCAGATTTGCTGCTGCTACTTCTGATTCTACTGTTCTGAGGGATCAGGTGCAAACGAACAAGCAAACACAAACCCTTGAAAGGCCGCTCCTCAGTTCCAGGTACATGATGTTGTCATGGTGCAGCTCCTCTAGACCCTTATAGTAGTAGTCCCTCAGCACAGGGGCGTGCGTAATCAGTCCTGCAGCTGCAATGAAGGCTTTCTCAAACTTCTCCCACACAACATCTTGGCTTGGATATTCACCGTCTGGATCCTCGGTAAACAGCGTGAGGTGCTGAATCAAACTGAAAAACAAATATGTTGGGTTCAGTTCTCCCATTACATCTTTACCTGACACGTTTAAAGGAGGGTTAAAAGTTGCTTAACCTGTTATCAAAGGCTGTAGGGTCTCCTATTCGGGCTCTCAAGGTCTGGAGCAGCTGCCAGTAGAAGCAGTCCCATCGTGGGAAGGGCTGGCGCTCTGAGAACAGGAAGCGCACCGAGTTGTCCCAGGTGAAGCAGATGTAGCAGCGAGGTCTGTAGGTGACGTTTCTGACCAGCCATTCGGCGCTGACCAGAGACGAGCTGTGGATGTGGAGGGCTGCGCCTGTCACCAAGACAACAGGACACAACCTCAAACTCTGCCCTCAGTCTAGACACTGACAAAAAAACCCAACAAGAAGCGTTGTAGTTACTGTTGGCTTCTGTGAGAGTTAATGGGCCCATCGCCTCTCCTGTATTAGAGATTAATTTGTCGTTGTAATGATTTTGCATCTACTGTGTGTGTTTAGTTGTCTTATTTCTACTTGTAGTCACTTTTCATTGCTTTTTAGTACTTTTCAGTCATTTCACATAGTTGGTCGATTTATGTGCCGTGCCTTGTTGTAGACAATCACATCTCTTTGTAGTTGGTTTGTGTTTATTTGCAGTTTGTCTCTTTGTAGTTGTATCATAGTAGAAGGCTACCAGACTTCACTTTTTGGTTCTTAAAGACATTTTACCTCTCATCTCAGAGGCTTCTATAGGGTGTGAAAGGTAGTGAAACAGTCTGGGGAGACCTCAAGACTGCCTAATAAGTACCTGATATGTGGTGTCATAGACTCCCTGCTGTTAGGGGCTCACTGTTCCATTTTTACTTCACTCCATCTGTCTGTCCATTTATGTTCAGAATGGAAACATTGCTGTCCTCAAATGAGTTTACTTCATCCATTTAAGCAGGTAGACTCCTGAATCTTGTCCTGAGTAGCTGGTTTTGTTGTGCTGTGCCATGTACTAGTGGAGCTCTTGTTTAGTCTCTCCTATATATAGGTCTGTGCACTGTGCAATGGACTGCATGTACAGTCGTCCTCAAATGTATTCATATCCTCCCATTAAAGAAGGAAAAAGCAGCTGTCACTGAAAAAAGTTGAAATTGACAAAAGTAATAATAAATAAAAATTGAATGAAAATCATGACATTGCTTTTGAATTGTGGTTCAACAGAAATATTTAAAAAATAATAAATAAAATTAAAACAAAACAACAACAACAACAACAACAACAAACAAGCATGATGGGACCCGTAAACTAATATTTTGTTAAACAACCCTTTGAGCCAATCACTGCTATCAAGTATTTTCTGTAACTCTCAGTCAGACTTCTGCTCCTGTTGACAGCTATTCTGATTTTGTCCACTGCTCATCAGCAAAGTGCTCTTATTTGTCTGGGACAGTTTTTGTTGTTGTTGTTGTTTTTAATTACTATTCTTTTCACCCACAATTCAAAAGCAATGTTTTACTTCACTAAACTACAATTTAGCAAATTTATTTATTATTACTTTTGTCAGTTTCTAGTTATTTCAGTGACTATTGTGAATTTTCCCTGTCTTTAATGGAAGGGTATGAATAAATATGAGGACGACTGTATTAAGTGTAATAGTTAATCATTTTATTTTTATTGCTTGTATTAGTTTTTATTTAGCTTTAAATGATCTCAGCTACCAATCTCTTATTTTCCTTCTTTAATTGTTTGTGTGTGTGTGTGAGTGTGTTTGTCCATAAATCCATTTTTAATATTCCATGTTTTCACTTATAAAGCACGTTCTATTTGATACGTTTGAAATGTGCTATATCAGTAAAGTTTAATTGGTTTTGCATCTCTTTTTAGATGTTGTACATCCCATTATAGTTTTACTGCATTTTTGTCTTTTCTGTTCATCTGTTTGAATCTTGTCAAAACTTCCTGCAACAGCAGATCCAAACCAACAGACTGTATATTTATACACTGTGGCAAATTACAGTGACAGGAAACCATTAAACAAAGCTTGAATAAAACATAAATGTAGCCTCACTATGCTGAGCAGCTGCTGTATAAAGGAACATATGAATATTTAATGTGACTGGGACACCTTGTCCCCAGGAGGCCTGTTCAGTTAACCATCCATCGCTGTAACATCACCTTTTGGCATCTTCTGCAGCAGTTTGAAGACGGGGCTCTTCTGGATGAGAGGCTTTGCTTTGAAGAAGTGGACAGCAGGAGGGAACGGAGCAGCAGACATCTCCTGCTCCTTTAACCGACGGAGGTAAGAGTCCAGCTTCTGCTCAGCTGCCGTCAGCGTCACTCGGCCTCCCGTCTGTCTGGACGCCTCCTGACGCATCAGCAGGTCTCTCTGAGTGGGGTCGGGCATCCCATCGGTCACCCTCACGAACCACAGAAGGGCCACATAAACGAGCACAGCCTGGCAGAGTGAGATCAGCATGTCCTTGTGCCACAGGAGGGAGCCGTTTCCCACTAAAACATGATGCTCCTCACAAGATCACAGCTGCTGTACTTGGGGCTGTAAAGACAGAAATGCAGGTTACAAAACAAAAACATTAAAGTCACTCTGCCTTAGAAGAAAGGTCTGTGGGTAAATACATTTAACAATCTCAAATGGTAGAAATCACAAGATGTTGCTCAGCTTGCATTACAATCCTGACAGATTCCATTCATGAGCCTGACCACATGGAGTCAAAACTATCAGACACTAAAGTATAAGAAAGTAACACAAAGAAACTTTAACAACAAACCAAAAAAAATCTTCAAGTGTCGCTGCTTTAAATCATAGAATACTTACAAGTTTGAAGGAGCTCTTGGAGTCCTGTGTCTCAGCTCAGCCCTTTTCCTGAAAGAAACTGCGCGACGCTCTAGCATGTCAGCAAAATGCTCGGAGCAACTGGATAATTGGAGCATTTTTGTCTGACTAACGCCATGTGATAAACTAATGAACGGAGCATGAATGGCCAGTTTGGCAAAAGAAATCAAAAACGGCAGATAAGGCGGAAGGTTAAACACTGTGAGAGTCAAAAAGAGCAGAGAGGTGATACTAATGATTTATATTCTTTATGTTGTACATTTCCACAATAGAACATTTTCAGTTTGAGACAATCAAAAAAAGAAGAACAAAAACAAAACAACAACCACACATACGTATAATTTAATCTGGAAACCTCATATACATACAGTGCACCCTCTGGAATGATATCAGCCACTCCTTTAATTCATGACAGGAGAACAGTCGATGTAACATCAATAAATTAACTCTGGAAGGTCATGTACGGTCTTCAGTTTTGTTTCTAGGATACCATATGTTGTCTGTGATTGGTTGGAGCAGACACCCATTAGCAACACAATGCCCCATACAACTTCTAATGTGGGGCAGAGGTAAAGGAAACTAGACAAACTGCGACACAGACACTGTGTTTGTCATAAAGACTGATCCAATTAGAGGACAAGCTGTTAAACACCCCAACTTCCCTGACTTTATCAGTGTAAACTGAGACCTTTGAAGGAGAGCAGCAGAGTAAACCAGTCCTTACAGCTGTGCAAAGCGCGCACATCTGCACTGTTGAGTTGCAGCGTCTACCATGTCCCTTAATGCACAGAAAAATACAGCAATACATCACACGACAACGATGCGTCTCGTTTTTGCATCAGAAATTTCACAGACAAAAGGAATGATGTCTTTGATATGACAAAATAAAAAATAAAAGGGAGAATTTGTCTCTAATACAGCGAAGGCTCTCAGTCCATGAACTTGCGATTCGGGTTGGCACCAAAGAGAGCCACTCGGATTTCAGGCATCATCTGCAAACAAAGGAACAGTTTATAAATCACAGTGATCAGCATCGATTTACTTGAAATTATTTTCATATTGTCATCATTTTGTCTGTTAAATTTAAGAAGAAAAAAACAAGAAAAAGACATCATTAAACCTAAGAGGGCATACACAAACTGTAAAAGATGTTCAGTTTGCTCGCTTCAAATTTGAGAGATGAAAACTAAAGAATTATTTAAACAAGTAACTGATCATCAAAATATGTGCAGATTATTTTTCTGTCACATGAGTAACTGATAAATCAACACACTTCTGTCCAGTTTTTCCTTTTCTGGATTTGTGTTTAATCATTTCACACTTTTAAAAAAAAGGATTTTTGATGCTTCTTGCATTTTTCCATTTTAAATTAAGGTTAGATAGACTAAAAATATCCAGCAAAAACTTAACGAGACTAACACATGTATACCTTAAAACATCCTCCTCCCCATCTTGTGACAAGTGATGCCACTCACAGGTCTTAAAAAGGAACATTTAAAGCTTCAGCTAACTTCATTTAGTCAAATGTAAGTTTGTTAACAGCTGCACACAACAGGTAATTCCATTTCAGACCAACATTAGCCTGTCTTCCCTTGACCTTTTTTTAACAGGGAGTCATAATTAGAAACCTTTTTTTAGGAGTGTGTTGCTGAAAAAACAACACAAAACATTGTGACAAGAAAACTAAGACAAAGAACAATTAAAAAAAAAAAAAGTATACTATTGCATCTTGTGTTTTCTTATTGTGTATTTTTTCTTATCATTACATTTTGCATTTTATATTTTGCTATTGTTTATTTTTTCCTATTTATTGGTATATATGACGGTGGTAACTCTAACTTGTGCTGTAACAACCAAAGACTTTATTTCTTATTTTATATTTAGTCGGTGTATTTGCATAAAGTCATATTTTGGTTTCTTTTAGACAAACGTACAGGAGTGCTGGACTGAGCATGCTCATTACTTTGTCTTTATTTAGTTAGCTGCTGCAAATAAAAAAATAACAGTTATTTGTCCCTTTTGTCATTATATTAATGTTTTTGTTAGATGCACATTTGTTAGTAACATCACTGCTCATTAAAAGGAGTCGTTTTTAACAACCAAATCCACATCTAAGCAAAGCACAGGAGGCAGATTAACTTACGGCCTTTAAAAATGTGTGTACGGAGGTTATTAGTGAATAAAAAATGATGTATACAAAATGAACTACACTGTATTCATAGTGCATGTTTCATTTAAACAAACAAAATGAAAAGGTTAAAATAAATACCATGCTCGGTCTGTGTTTCCTACCTGCTGAGCCATGAGGTCCAGTCTGCTCTCCAGGGTGTTGGACACCTTGATCTTCCCGTCGCCATTATAGAGCTCAATACCTCCAGACCTGCAGGCAGAAAAACATCAAAACAAGAGAGATCAAATGCAGAAGAAGCATTTCAGGTGAAAGTTCAGGTTGGTAAGGTTTGATGTGTATGTGTTTTTTTTTTAAATGTGATGCTGCTTACACGTCTGGGGAGAGGAAGTTGTCCTGATCGATGCGAACCTCCAGGTTGGTCTTCACAGCTGCTTTATAAATGGGGATGTTCCTCTGGATGGATGCCTGGAAGTCCAGAGGCATGGTGCCGTTTAAATTCGGATTTTTTTTAATAATGTCACCAAGTTTAAATAGCTAAATTTGATCACAATATTCCCTTTAAAAAAAAAACTCCACTCTGCTACTTAACATCTTCTCTTATTCACAATAAAGATCCAGACAGGGTACTAAATACACCTGTGATGTTTTCTCTTACTTGTATCAGATGGAAATTGAAAGAAATTTGTAAAATTATCGACAGTGGTTTGGATTGCACCTCATGTACAAGTTGCTATACGTACGTAAACTAGAACATGCACTCACCTGTACCATCTGCAGGTCCTGTTTACGGCAGCGAATAGTCACTTTGGGCTCCAGAAGCTGATAGAATCCCTGATATGACAGACGATGAAAACGTTATCAAACCTCAGTATTTAAATATCTGCACAGCATGAAGGTTAGAATGTTTGTGTTTTCACGTGGCTGAACACTTTTTCAATCATTGACAAGAAGCTAAATAACAGAAACTCCTCTTTACTGAATAAACTGTCATCACTTTTTTAAAAGTACTTCATCTGTTTTTATTAGGGTCCGAGCACTACAGTGCTATTGGAATGCAAGGAATTATTATTCTTCTCCCGACAAAACAAACGCGTCTTTGAAGGCCTAAACATGCTCAAAAACTCATGAAAGTTTGCACACACATCAGGACTGGCGGAAAATTTGATATTTTAAACCAACTGGGCATGTCAATAGCAAAATGGCTCCACAGTGCCCCCCCCACAAAATTTCAATGGACTCCTGTCAGAAGCCCGTTTGGCCTAGAGCTACGAAATGTGGTAGGCTTATGGAGCAGGTCAGGATGAACAAAAAAGTCCATCAGCACATTTCGGTAAACTCAACAAGAAGTCCGCCATTTTGAAAAAACGGCGAGCATTTTTGGGCCTTTTTAAAATCTATCTCCTCCTAGGGGGTACGTCGTACACACCTGAAATTTGGCCAGGACAAACTACAGGACGTGGTGATTAAAAGTTATTAAAATGCTCCACAAAATTCTGACAGTGTGGAAATGCAGTTTCGATGGAAGGCAATTTTGCGCGTTTTGTCTGTTTTTCCAGCATTCAGAAGAGTCTCGTCGAAGGCCGTTTCACCTAGACCTACAAAAATTCGGTGGGATGCACAAAAAAGTCAATCAGCACCAAGCCCTAAACCCAACAGGAAGTCCGCCATTTTGAAAAAAACTGAGAATTTGGGCGATTTTTGCTCATATTCAAAATCTATCTCCTCCATGCGGGAAGATCGTACACACCTGACATTTGGCCAGCACAAACTACAGGACGTGGTGACTAAAAGTTATTAAAATGCTCCACAAAAGTCTGACGGCGTCAAAATGGCGGCCCTCTGAATTGTGTTGTGCTATTATTAGTTGGTTGACCGTATTAACCTCAAATGCGGTGACGTGAGCTGTAAGATGTTGATGATGACTCACGGTGAAAATTGTGAGTTTTCGTCAAACAGCGTGTCCGTGGCGGCCGTCTGAACTTTGATGCTTTGCCATGACAGAGCAAGTGCTGTCTCCCTGCCCTCTGTGCACTTTATTCAATTTGTCTGTACTGTTTTCTAAATTAGATTTTATGATGGTGCATCTTGTCTTGTACATGTTTCCCTTTGCCTATAAAGAACATTGAATAACCTCTGTGTATGATAAGGTGCTCTATTAAATAAACACTCAGTTTAACCCTCATTTCTCTACAACTGTGTCAAAAACTGACCAGGTTAACATTAGATTTAAGTTCTTGGGTATTGATTTAGTATCTCTAGTGTCAGCCTGTATTATACAGTTGTAGATAATAAACTAGTCACTGAGTGTTGCTCATTAGCTGGCGGAGGTCGAACACGATTGTGAGGAGTCGGAAGCCTTTTCCACTGAGGCTTTCCATCGGGACCACTTCTAGCGTAGAAATGATGACGACTGTATTCTCTTGTGGGTTGTCCACAGGAACAACAGCACAGTTTCTGAGGAGAGCTGCTGCTGATATTCTTCTAATTCACTGGTGAAATTTCCTGCACAGATGTCTCAAATTGAATCAAACTAGTGTAC